TTCCATCCATTCAACGCAATTGGTTCCGAAGTGACATTTCCTTGAAATTGAATGGTTACATATTGTTCTACTGTGTGATCGGTTCTGCTCAATGATTAGGAATCCTAAGTTTACCTGTGGAAGATATCCATGGATTAGAGGTATTCGACTATGATGGCGCTAACGGGTAACACCGAAGTAAAGTGTCATGTATTTGGAGGTGTTTCGGTGGAAAATTAGTTGTCGCACCGAATTCCGATGAGTAGGCTTCGCTGCTCCGGACACGTGTTGTGCATGTATAGTAGTATTTTACTGCGCTGCATCTTGTTTCTAGTTGCAACTCCGGATTGAAGAAAATCCCTTAGACAGATGGCGTGGAGCCGGGGAATGAAGAAATGCACAGGGGGATTAGGCAGATTAGGTATGTATCTCCCGTGTTCCAAGTTGGGATCTAAAAGACGCGATAACTGGTGGCTTGGTAACACTGAGAAGCAGGAAAGCTAAACGACTGTGGTTCTTGTTATTTTTTATCAAACCAAAATACGTGAAGAGGTGTACATGCACAGTTAGGTTGTGCACTCTGTGTCGACTATTGTGGTTCACTTTCTTTCAACCTCTGTTAAACCAGACCTACTTTCATTCACGCATAGATGCTTACTTACCTTGAATAAACTGTGAGCTTGGCGGCGATCAGCGAAGTTGGCGTCATTGTATTTCCCTGTAAGATGATATGGCTACTGCTCAGTCACTCGCAAGCAGTAGCCACCTGGCACTACGCCGCATGTCTCATTTAGTGCAAAACACTAAAGACAAAGGTTTAATCTATGAGCAACAACAACTGAACAGTAGGTTCCCGCGACCACGAGGTTTATTACGACTTAGGATGCTCTACCGTGTATGGACAAATCGAACCAATCAGATCAACTGTCTGGGGCTCAAGTGAGCTGCCTGTACTCTTGCATTCTATCTTAGAGATTATGGGGTTCAATGAGTGCGCACTGCTGATGGACCCAGACAACACTGCAGTTTAGTTTACTTCTCCTCTGCCCTGTTATAAGACGAAACCAAGTTCTCCACCAGTGGCTTCTATGAAATATATGTTACAACATGTCCGTGTCCCAGATCGAAACCACGGATCCTTCTTAGGTTCATATATAGAACCACGATCAGTTGGAACCACATTTGGTGTACTGTAAGCTTCAAGCGGATAGGCAGAAGATCAGTGATACGCTTGCAAGAGGGGAGCTTTTCGTCCTCAAAAAGCGGATCGATTGTGATGGGGGTATGGAATAGGATAGAAAACAGTTTGATAAATGAGAGCATTTTTTTGTGAAGTTCGTAATCTAGTGAGAGCCTTCGTCACCGTATGGTATTCAGGGTACATAGCACAAAAACAACCACGCACAGGATCTGCCCTCAACCAGGGAGAGGTTCTGTAAGGGGAGACGTAAACTTAAATTGTGCGAGACCTTCGATGAGATGCAGATAACTGACCAATCAACCGCTGTGCACAAAACTAACGCGATCTGACAAATCACTTCATACCGTCTTCCCGCCAAAATAACCTGAACATACGATACCAAACTCACTTCCACATTGTCTTCATCTTCTTCCAATAAACCTTCCAAAAGTGTGGCGCATTTCTGAAAAGTAGCGAATGAAGTGTCAACCGATTAGATAATGGGGGGGGGGG